ATGCCCAGATTTCCTGCTGAGAAAGAGACTGAAAACAGGAAGGTACATTGTTGTCTGCACTATGCTGAACCCTCACCATCCCTTTCTCATTGGACCCTTGCCGGGTCATTCTCTGCTTGTGTCAGAGGGATGCTCCATCCATCCTGGGATGACCAGTGTTGAACTGACTAGTGTTGTTTCAGTCAAATATTTTCACTTTTTCTCCAAATGACGTGTTTGTCACAGTGAACTGTGTTGGGGCTGAATTAAGCCTGTCAGGGAATAGATTGCTTAAGAAGCTCTTCTCTGTGAAATTGGCCTTAGTGAGAAGAGATTGACCAGGAAACCCAAGAAGATCAAGGAAAGTTCAAGTTTTGGAAAGGGCCAGAGAGATATCTAGGATAAACTACTCACTGAAGGATACAACACCAAGGTTGCCCATAGGGGTGAGCTGGGAGGGCATGTGGATATAACACCTCAGACCTGGAGCCAGTGAGAAAAGTTAGCCAAACAAGGACTGAAGCTGAAGTTATGTGATGGCAGGTTTTTTTGTTTTTGTTTTTTTAAAAATCAAGGTAAAGATGAAGGCAAATATCACTGAATGGAATGAATGAGATAAATGGGCAGCCTCTAAAATAACTGAAGGGGAACATTCAACTGCCACTCTTTCTAGCTGGATACACAGATAAGTTGCTGGGTTTTGAATTAGAAGATGTAAAGAGTAACTAGATTCTTATGCAGAACAGGTAAATCATATTCTTCCTCACCATTCTTTCTTCTAACCTTGTCCTTCCCTCCTGCTCTCTCTTCATACCCAAAAGAATCATATGTGGCATATAGTCTAGCTGCAAAAATAGTCAGGTTCTTTGGACCTACCAGACTTTTTTACACCCCATGTGACTTGGTACATGCTATTTTCTTTGCCTTAAATGGCTTCTCTCTGTTTCTTTTTCTCTGGCTCTGGTGGGTCTGGACATTCATTGAGCAAAGAGTAGAATTCTCCTTGCTTTTCTGGTTCTTAAAACAGTCTTTTTTTTTTTTTTGAGACAGAGCCTCAAGCTATCCCCCTGGGTAGAGTGCCGTGGCATCACAGCTCACAGCAACCTCCAACTCCTGGGCTCAAGCAAGTCTCTTGCCTCGGCCTCCCAAGTAGCTGGGACTACAGGTGCCCGCCACAACGCCCGGCCATTTTTTGGTTGCAGCCATCATTGTTGTTTGGCGGGCCTGGGCTGGGGATTCGAACCCACCACCTTAGGTGTATGTGGCTGGCGCCTTAGCCATTAAAACAGTCTTAAAACAGAAACAGTCTTAAAATAGTTCTTCCAGATTAAAGATTTCCAGCAGATAACCCTCCAACCTTTTATAAGGTTTTTAGCAGATGATCTGTTGATCTCTTGCACCAAACCCCGAGTTATGGATCTATGACTGACATGCCCATAACTTTCTGAGTTACATGTGTACTACGCCCTGAATTTTCTTTGAAAGTGGCCTCTTCCACTAACTGGAAGCTGCCCCCATTTTCCATTTTCAGTGGCAGCCCATCTACTTGTAGATGCTCTTAATAAATCTCTGCTATTAACTCTCCTTGACCTTGTTCTTTGTGGCATTTTCCCACCTTTTGATATCAAATATGCCTTCCCCATCTTGAAAAATCCAAATAATCTTCAGGAACCATCTCAAGTTCATGTTCTTTATAAAATCTTCTGGGACTCCCCAGATTGGGTAAGTAGCACCTTAATTATGCTCCCACATATCTTTGTGCTTGTATTTCTATTATGTTACTTATTAAATTGTGTTCTAGTCATGTGGTATGATAATACTCTGAAATAATCTGACTCAGTATTAGGCTCAGCTGAAGATAACAGTGCCTTAAAGAAAAGGGAAGTTTATTTCTCTCTCCTATTAAGGAAGACTAGAGGGACACAGTGTAGAGCTGGTGTGTCAGATTTTTAGTGTCATCATGAATCAAATTTCCTATCTGTCTACCTTGCCATACTCAGCTCATAGCATTCATTTTCAAGTTTATCTGACATCCATAATAGCTGCTGTAATTCCAGCCATCACATCCATGGTTTAGGAAGCAAGAAGGGGGAAGAAGGATGGTGTGTCTCCTCTTTGTAGAAAATGGAACTCCTTATTTTTCACATCCTGCAGAAGCACATTCTATCATTTACTGGAACAAATCCTATGTCATAGTGTGCTAGTAGGCATAACAACTTCTAGTGCCAAGTAAATCCCATAGCTTGACTTTCTCTAATCTCTAAGTCTCTAAGGAGACTTTCTGGAGATACCATATACCATCAGTCAGGTAACCACATCTAGCTGTAAGGAACTCAAGAAATTGTAGTCTTTATTATGACAACCTTATGCTAAAAGAAAAATTACACTATAAGAAGTGAGAAGAGAATGGATACTGAGAGGCAGTTTGCAACCACGTTATCTGATTCATTTTTAATTTCTAGTAATTCTTGCTGCTTCCCATTCTTACACCTATTGAATTGACCAATCTATGGTTTTAGGAAGAAGTTAGAACACAGATAAAAAGAAAATATGCATAGTCATAATTCATGTGTTCAGAAATGTTACTTTCTTCATCACTTGATTTGTCTGCAAGTCCCTGTTTTTATTTATGGCTAGGGAAAAGACTTCATTAATTAAAGCTAATGTAGTCACTTTTATTTTAAAACTGAATCTCTCTGGAGTATATATTCAGTTAAATTCAGGGCTCTTCCCTCCTTCCTTTTCCAACCATCTTACCAGGAGGTGGTCTGGTTACCTAAGGGTCTTCCTGTTGTTGTCTCATTCTCTTGGACTTCCAGTAATTGGGTATAGTATATGTCTTTCTTTTTCTCTACCCAGGAATCTCTTGGCATCCGTGACATTGTTTTAACTATTTTAAATTCTCCAGTGCCTGCTGCAGAAGTTGAGACATAGGAAATAATTCAAAAATATGACTGATTGAATTTATGAGTATGCTTTAAATAAGGGGTCCTCAAACTTTTTAAAGTGGGGGCCAGTTTACTGTCCCTCAGACAGTTGGAGGGCTGGACTGTAGGCCCTGGGATAAGTCGGCTGCTAAGCAGGACAGGCAGTGGTGGCAAAAACACTCGGTAGGCTGGATAAATGTACCAGGCAGGCTGCATGTGGCCCATGGCCCGTAGTTTGAGGATGCCTGCTTTAAATGCATCATATAATTAGTTTAAATGGTACCATAATGATATGAAAATTCTGTACAATTAAAACTTGATTTCTCTAAAGCCCTAACACTATGTTTATAGCTTTCTTATAGCACTAATAGACCTCACCTCTCAGTTATAGTGGTTGGTATGCTTGCCTCACCCCTTATTAGAATGTCTGCTTCCTGAAGAATGTTCCTGATCTATGTAGCTTTCATAGATCCTGAGAAAGCCAGGGATATAGTTGGTCTTCAGCCAGTGAAAATGAATCACTACAGGAATAGGCCCTGGCACTTTATAATTCATTGCTAATAATTACTTCCCCCAGAGAAGAAACAGAATAGATTTTAAAAAGCATTTAGAATAATGTCAATATCAATAAGTTGGTAGTTTGGCTTTAAGAAAACTATTTTTAAAGAAAAAAATTTGCTCTTGTTTTTCAGAAATCCTCCGCCTACTTTACTTCATCCAGAAAAATGGTGTGAGGAATTCAACCACTTTATTTCACAGTGAGTATTTCTTTCACTAAAAATTGCTAATCTAGTAAGGCCTTGAACAGTGATTAGAGAAAGTCAAGCTATGGGATTTACTTGGCACTAGAAGTTGTTATGCCTACTAGCACACTATGACATAAGATTTGTTCCAGTAAATGATAGAATGTGCTTCTGCAGGATGTGAAAAATAAGGAGTTCCATTTGACTCTTGGGTATAATCAGTCTTGCTGATCACATGGGTCACATTTATCTAAGAACTGACTCTATTCTGAGGCAAATATTGCCAGCTTGTCTTGTTTAATAAGAGCAGAGACTCAACATCTATAAAGGTAATGCCCACGCTGGGACCAGAGAGAAGATAGAAGGTAGCAGCTTCCAGCAGAGATTTTGGATTTTGCAACCTGAAAGTTGGGTTTTACTCTAGGATCTAAACTGGCTCCATAAACAAATTCCAATGACCCTTACATGTTTATTTATAATCCTCTTCCTTAACTGTTTGACTTTTTGTTTCCCAAGAATGATGATTTTTATACAAGACAAAGTTGTTGAGATTCTGAAGGCCCCAGGGCAGATTTCCTGATGCCACGTTTTACCATCCCCATAACCTGATCCCAATACATGTGGCCCTTTATTAGTTATGCTATGAACTGACTCAAGTCATATGCCTTTAAAAGCCCACAGTCTCCATTAGTTGAAGAGACAAATTTGAGGCTGCTTCTCCTATTTTCTTGACAAGACATCTGTCATATTCAAAAATTCCTTTCTTCCTTGGCAATCTTTGTTGTTTTTCTAATTAGATCCTGGTATAACAGCAAAGAGACCTAGACTGAACTCCCTTTGTAGTTTTGATGACAATTATGGGGGCTTGTCCAGGATGGCATTGCTCATGGTTGGATGGCTGTGGAGCAAAGAGAACCAAAAAGCTTCCCTTAGCAGCTACCTGACCATTTTCTTTAGAAGGTGGCTTTGTATTCTCCAGGCAGCTCAATCATCACCATCCTCCATCACATTGGTCATTGCCTCCAACAAAAGAAACCCTGAAGTTGGATTTTGACATTTGCATACAGATAGGTGAAAGCTATTTGAAGGCACCACATTGTGGAGGGCACTCCTCTCTATTTTGGGATTTCTAAGGGTTGAGTTAGATAAGCCCCCAACCATTTGTGAAAATAATCTAACTGTTTTGATTTAGCACTCTCAGGGCTTATTAGTTGAATCACAGTTCATTTGTTTATAACCTCTTAAACTTCTCTTTATATTGAGTGTTTACCAGTATTGGTGTGTATCATGTAAATGTATAGTCTACTAAACTCTCTATCTCTCTTATTTTTTTCTGTCTACTTAGAATTTGCTGTTGATGGTATAATAAGCATAATCTAAGGTCTGAAAATTTAAAAGATACCTTAATTATTAATTTCTCTTGTGGCAGGTTCTAAGGTCTGAGGGATTAAAAGACACCTTCATCTTAAAGTCTGGGGGATTAGAAGACATCTCTGTCTTAATGTCTAGGAGATTAAAAGACATCTCTGTCCATGTAGGCTGAGATATAGGAATGCCCACTGTTGGAAAGGTAAAGAGAGGAATGAAAACATAATTTATTCAGGTTTTTATAGAACTTTAGAAGATCTCATGGCTAGAGTTCTGAAATGAAAACTATCAAAACTTTGTGTGTACATATATGTTTAGATGTGTTTTATGTATCTATATATACTATATGTTATGTCTACATGGCACCAAAATTGACTTACAGGTAAAAGGATCTCTTATGAATGAAGTAAATAAGCCTAAAGGCTTTTCAAGTTCACATGAATGTAATTTTCTCTAGTAAATAAGCTAGTTTTTAAAAAATTATTGGAAAAATTAAAATGTCTTCAAAATTGTCAACATACATTTTTGTTAGAGTGGCATGAGGTAGTCACTAAAATAATTGAAAAGAGCAAGTAAAGTTTTAGCAAGGAAAAGAAAGTTTGTTAATGACCCACACAGCAAGCCAGGCCCCATCATAGTAACTGTGAGCTCTGAAGAAAGTTCAGTTTTGGCTTTTACATACAAAAATACTTTGTATGATACTTTGATGAGTATCAGCTGCTTCTTGGATGTCTCCCAGAGTCTTAGTTATCTCTGTATGCAAAACAACACATATACAAGGTCTTGATAACAATCCATCTACCAGGTCTTAATCAGCCTCCTTTCCATAGTAGCCCTGGTCAGTCTGATTCTAACCAATCAAAATAGCCTAATGATATCCATCATCTGCCCTGCTCCTATCTAGCTATCTGTCTAATATTTTTGCTTGTGTTTAGTGGTTATTTTCATATTTGAAGATGTCAGTGTTTGCCACAAGTTATAAAACTGCAAACTCAGCCAAAAGAAAATGATCTGGGTATGACTTTTGATAAGTTAGTGTGGGAAAACAGCTAAATCTCCTGAGTTAATGGCAAAGTTACTGATGTGTTTTACTTTAAGAATCTGGCTTAGATAAAAAGTAGACATGCCTAAACAAAAATAAATGTCAGTATTAAAATAAATAAAACTCTAAGTAAATGATAGGATAAGAACAGAAACTTATGGTTAAAGATTTATAAAGATATTTTGGCTTTAGTCTCTTA